GCAATGTACGGCGTGATGGCAAAAGCCTGTGGAGAGACAGCTCCTCTACAAGTGTAGGGCTGCGTAATTAAGCAATAAGCCACAAGAGGCTAAGCTTTACAGTGATTTTTGAACAGCTGCTGTGAGATTTGTTGTTAGGCATGACTTGTTAGATGTTCCAAAAGTCTGTGTAAAAGACGAGCTCTTCAGGAAACCGACAAACAAAATCTTCAGAAGGTTCTAGAACAGGGGTGGGCAATATTTTTTTCCAGCGGGCCATACTGACTCCGTTAAAGTAAGTGAAGGGCCACACAATTGGAAATAAAATTTAAACATGAAATATTTAGTGCAGAATTACTTTAAACTACCTGTACATAGATGTGGTGGGCTGGATTGTGTTAGTCACTAGCCCTTTTTAAACAAATACATGATCATCTTCATGAATATTACAATTAACTACTATGATTCAGTGAGACTGTTCTATTTGTGTGACAGACCTGCATCACTCAATGAAGAAAATATTAGGGTTTTGTATAATTTTATTTACAGAGAAACACACAACTCCTTTAAATTACAACTGTGAGAAATGACTCACATTGCAAAAACAAAAAACATTGCATCCAACTGTTGTAACTAAATTATTGCATTGAATGCTCATCAGAAAAACAATAGACACTGTTTTTTAATACTCACACTGTTTTAACAACTCTGGCAGTTATCTTGCTGCCGATTGATAGTGTACACATTGTCTCTGTATCCGTGAAGCTCCAAAAAGTTCGGATGGACCCTTGTATGTCTCCACTGTCTGTGTACATATTCGCAGCTTTGTGCACACGCGGAGTAAGGGTTGTCAGTTAATGGGAACAATGCAGACGGTCACCTCCCTTTGCAAGATCATCAAAGTCTGGCGTCATGTGTGATGTTGCAATGCGCAACACAGAGGACAGATGTTCATCCGTCAGACGTGATCTGTAACGTGACTTGTTATAGTTCATCACGGAAAATGTTTGTTCGCAGACATAGGTGGAGCCAAACAAAACAAGCATCCTTCGTGCATGCCTGCGCAGGTTCGGGAACTGCGTTTCGTTCAGTGCACCATAGAAGCTGTCCAGTGTGGAGGTGCTGAACTTCTCTTTCAGAATCAGATCGCACTGGATGTCAATCAGTTCGAGTTGCACATCTGGGGGCGCTTTCTCGCTGTCGAATGAGAAGGGAGTGGACACCAGCTCCAGTTCTGCATTAATCTTCTCAAAGTCAGAGAAACGGCGGTTGAACTCAGTGTGGAGGTGTGTCAGAGTAGTGGAGTATCTGTCAGTGTGGCGGGGTGGCACATTCAGTGTAGCCAGCGTTGGGAAATGTGTGAAACACTTGTTGCTCATATGTCGAGAAAACAGGATCAGCTTGGCTTTGAACGCTGTCACGTGTGAATACAGCTCATGCACAAATGCGTTCTTCCCCTGTAACTTCACATTTAGGTCATTTAGATGGCTCAGTACATCCACCCCAAATGCAAAGTCACACATCCAATCCAAGTCTTGCAACTCGGTAAACTCGTCTGCTTTACCTACATTCCCCAGAAACGTCATGATCTCTCCTCTCAACTCCCACACACGATGAAGCACCTTTCCCAGGCTCAGCCAGCGAACATTGGAGTGGTACAGCACGTCCGTGTGCTCTGCTCCACTTTCCTCCAGCAGCTGAATAAACTGGCGGTGGTTGAGCCCTCGGGCCCGGATTAAGTTTACGAGTTTTACCACCGTTTTGGTGACATGATCCAGTTGCAACACAGATTTACACAGGGATTCTTGGTGAATGATGCAGTGTAGGAAAATCAAATCTGAGTTGGGATTGTCATCTTTCACCCGGTCCTGTATCCTCCGCAAAAGCCCGACGTTTTTACCGGTGAGGTTCGGAGATCCATCAGTTGTCACGTTCAGTAATTTAATCCATGGCAGGTTGAATTTCTCCAAACATCCTGACACGCATTCGTAGAGGTCAAATCCCCGCGTTGTCCCTCTCATCGATTCCATGGCAAGAAATTCCTCCACGATTTCAAACTCATCACTGATCCCTCTTATGAAAATAAGAAGCTGGGCGGTGTCTTTGATATCTGTGCTCTCATCCAGAGCTATGGAAAAATAGGTGAAGTTGGCTGCTCTCTTTAGCAGTTTATCAGACAAGTTTTCATCAATCACTTCTACACGCCTGGTAACGGTCCGACGAGACAGACTGATTTTTTCAAACTGACTTTTATTGTCAGGGCACAGGATGCTAGCAGTCTCAACCATACAGTCTTTCAAAAACTCACCCTCTGAGAACGACCTGCTGTGTTTGGCTAGCTTATGAGCTAGCATGTAGCTTACTTTCGTGACTGTCTCTTGTATGGCCGTCTGCTTCACAAAAATATTCTGACGGGCGGTTAAATCGGAGGACAATTTCAGGGCCCTTTGTTCTCTCTCCCGCGACGATAGGTTGGTGGCATAGTTAGCATGCTTGGTCAAAAAATGTCTCTTAATATTATATTCCTTGAAAACAGAAATTGCATTTTGGCATATCAGGCATACAGCCTTTGAACCCACATTAGTAACAAAATATTTATAAGTCCACTCGGTGTTAAAAACACGACATTCCGAATCAACTTTTCTCTTTTTCACAGCACTCATCCTGATGATCATCGAACTGTCAAGGCAAGAGTCAAGGAAGCGCATTTTCACCCACTCCAAATTAAAATAGCGCCCCCTGTTGCAATCAGATCGTATAGCACTTTTCACCTCTGTGGATGTCGCGGGCCGGACTGAGACAGCCCACGGGCCGGGTCTGGCCCGCGGGCCGTAAAATGCCCATGTGTGTTCTAGAAATAGAAGATTTTAAACTGATTCTTATTCTTCACTTTTAAAGTTTTCTTCCTCAAGATTTTTTTTTTCAGCAATAAACATTTCATGTATTTCCATTCTGTAATTACCTTTCTATATAGAATTACTGCGCACCATTCAATTCACAGGAAACGACGTTGGTGGATCAGAGATGGAGGAAATGATAATTGTTAATGCAAACCTAACATTTCCTACTGCTGCCACTTCATATTAAAAGCTTTTAAATGCCGAAACATGACGTGGCGCGCCAGTAAAAGTGTTTGTTTGTTTACACTGTAAACAGATACACATATTACTCCTATGTTGTATTTAAAACATTGTAGCAGCTCAAGGTGTGTTTCCTGACTTGCTGTTACCACTAGTAACTACAGGTGTTGCCATATCAACCAGGATTTTAAAGCTTACAAGTTTTTAACATTAACTAATTTTACTTTAGCCATAAAATATAATTAGGTTGTGACATTTTTCTTTGTGTATTTAAATTGAATATTATACAGTCAGAGTTTAGTAACAATAATAGCAATAATAGCTCAAGCAGTCAACTTAAATCATGCTGCTACTCTACAGGTGCATCCACTGAGCACACTGCAAACACAGCCACATCACTGATACACATAGATGTCATTTAATCAGAGCCACCTCCTCCTTATAGTCTCTAATCCTAATTTTCTTTGACGGGAGGTGGCTACTTTTTACCGTCACTCCCCATTCCCCTCCATATAGGCTTAATTGCAGCAGCGCCAGAATGAGTTTCGAACCAGGAGGGCATCCAGCTTTGGTTGATGTAATAGGCTGGAAAACTTTTTCACATCAACTTCCTTTCAATCTCGGCTTAATTTACTGTTTTTGTTTTTGTACGGCTAAAATATGGTACGAATGCATTCGCAATAAGCGGTGAGTGCACAAGGCCGTCTGCGGCGCAGGAAACTTTTCTGAGAAACACTTCATCTGCATTCTTGCATTAGAAATTAAGGACAAGTGGGTGTACTCAGGATGTGCAGTTAGGCAAACAATCACACACACACTTCACAATTCATCATCAAATGTTATTGGATGTGAGATCACCTCTCACTGCGGTTGATTATGATTGGATTTAAAGAGACATTATTGCCAATGTTCCACCTGGCTTGTATCGTTACCACTTTATCACCACTAAAGCCTGAAAGTAAGGGGACGAAAAGTTTCACTGTCCAGCAGTTTCCAGCACGAGTATGTTAGAGACTAGACGCCACACATTAGCTGTTCATAACTCTATTCACATAATAATAAATCTGTTCAAGTCGGTGCTAGAGAGACATCACACACTTTTGGATGAAAGCTGCAATTTCCTAGACACCCAATAAAGCCACCTTATTATACATTAATGGTTCGAGGCTGTCATCTTTTGTGAATAGTCGGGCATAATTGAAATACCGGGCTTTTAAATTCACATCAGTTGTCGGAAAATGCTCGTCTCACGCCTAGCTCATTATGGGCTGCATCACAAGACAATATACAGATATTAACAAATGACCCGTCTGACACTAACTCAGACTTCTGCTGCAGAAATAGACGATTTGATTGTCATCGAAAGTATCTGTGTTCAGATGCTGCGTTTAATTGCACTGTTTTGCTACCTTAAATTATAGCCTCTTCAAATGTTTTCCAAGAAAACAATAAGAGGCAGATGTGTTCCTCCTCTCAGCTAATGCCTCCACTGGAAAGCATTTAGTGTCAGTTCTCTATAAATGGATTACGGTTAGACTCTGAGAGTGGATATTAGAGCTTGCTAACAATTTCTATCTAGTACAACCAGCATTTTGCATTGCTGGCCGTCTGTTTGCCAAACTCAGGCTTTAATGAGGGTTTGTCAAAAGGCCAGTGATGACATATATTAATGTTAAGATTGAAGTGGTCAGCTCTATGTCTGCGGACCACTTACAGAAGTATGCAGTTTAAGTTCCAAACAAAATCCCTGAAATGTTTCGGCTTGACGTGCAGCCTCAGCTCCGTCTCCTCCTGGCAAATGCTAGATCTGTTTACCGCTGATAATCTTATCAGATTCAAATTTCACTCATCATCCTGTCCCCACAATTCTTCATCTCTCTGATTGATCATTCCCGTGATATAATGAAAGCTAATCTAAGCAATCAACCATCTTGTCTGCAGGGCTGAAGATCCGCGAGGTGATGATCAACGTGTCACGTCAGCAGGTGGAGGACTTTCATGGCCCAGAGGATTACTGGTGTCTGTGCGTCGCCTGGAGTCACCTGGGAACCTCCAAGAGCCGCAAGGCAACAGTCCGGATCGCCTGTAAGCAGCTCCATGTCATTTTTTATAACCCAGACTGACCTTATTGTCTCTGGAAAGGTTATTCTCCTTCAAACTGGTGGTGTGATTTTGCAGAAGGCGTCACTCTTTACATCTGCATGTGTTTGCGCGAGGAGAGGTTGCCACACATGAAACAAATCTGACTTTTAATGTGCATGTTTAGATGCTGTTTCGTGCTGTTGTAGTTGTTCTTTAATGCCGGCTGTTTATTCTCTCCCCTAGACCTGAGGAAGAACTTTGAGCAGGACCCCCAAGGCACTGAGGTGCCTCTGAATGGCATGATTGTGTTGCATTGTCGTCCCCCAGAGGGAGTGCCTGTGGCTGAGGTGAGGGCTTCTTGCACTTCAAACAAGTAACATTTTCTCCTATGTTGCCTGGAGAGGAGCAGTCATCTGTCTGGTTTACTGACAGAATAACTCTGTTTTCATGATACAATGTTTTGCTACTCTCCAGCCACAACAAAACAAAGACATGTGTGCACTTTTCTCCCCAGTCTGGTACAAGCCAGAGCTGCAGTTGATGAGCTGAAGATGCCATTCATATTAATTTCTCAAGCTCATTCTGTTCAAGTTGGAATGATCATTCATATACTGGCAATAATAATTGTGCATGTGCATCGCTATGTTCTCTATTTCCTGTGTTTACGAGTAAAAGGATGTACGGCTATGACTTATTTAGATGTCATGTATTAATTTCATTCTCAGTATCATTCACCCCCTCTCTCCTCTGAGTCCTCTGTGTGTGTGTGTGTGTGTGTGTGTGTGTGTGTGTGCGCGCACGTGCGTGTGTGTGTGTGTATGTCTGAAAGAGAGTGCCAGTCATTGCCATTATAATTTTTACTATGAATATAAAATGAGGTTCTCACGGACAGTCCTGTTGAGTGGTGTGTGTTGTGCTGCGCTCTGATGTTGTGTGCCTTTATGTGGAGGCTCAGTAGGCAGATATGTCAATATCAAAGCCTGTGTGCCCCAGCTTCTGAAGCTTTGCATTTACTTAAAGGCACAGTCCGTGATCTATGCGTAAACAAACTGACAGCCCTACCAGAAAATTTCAAAAGCACAGGACTGGAACCCTGCTGTTATCCCTGAATTGATTGACAGGCCTTTACATGCACTGACTAATAAGTTATTGATGTTTTATGAAGCTGATGGTTAAGGCTTTGTTTATATCACTAACACAACAGTAAAACAGACGTGTATTACATATTTCTAAATATGATCAGTTGAGAAACACATTGATTTTCTTCATCTTTTAAGTCCAATTTCTTAATTACACTCAGAGCAGTCTGATGACTGGGACCCATGTCTCATCGATTTTCCAACACATTAGATTTGATATGAAACATTGACTGAGGTTAAAGAGCTAACCTTAAGCTTAAGGGGTATTTGACGGCATTAACATCCACATTGGGAGACTTCATTATCATTCTGTAATTTCACTAATTTAGAGTTCCCATTCTCTAATGTTATGATGACTCTTTTGCTTTGACTTTTAGACTCACTAGTTGAAAGTACTGTGAAATGAAATAACTTTAACTAAATGTGGAAAACGATCTTTTTCCTGCTATGAATTATAAACTGAATTTATTCGTCAAAATAACAAATTACTGGCCAGCTCTCTGGTTCATGTGATGATGCTATCAGACTAACCAGCTAGCTCCTGGGCTAACTGAGTCGGGAATATTTATTTTATTACTTACTCTGAGATGCTATAATAACAGCTAACAACTAACAGTTAGCACAGGAGCTAGCTGGTTAGCCTGATAGCATCAGCACATGAACCAGAGAGCTGGCCAGTAATGATATAACTTTATGCTAACTATAAAGCTAACTGCTAACTGTTATTGTCCTACCATCTTTTCAAGCTTCGATTTCACAGAACTCTTCAATTACGGCCTGAGACAAACTCAGTGCTTCATTATAACATTACTTCATTTAACTTTATTGTAACAGATTTTTAGTTAGCATGTCTTTAAGAAAGAGTCAAGGGGTTTATAGCAATGATGCTGCTGAAATATAACTTAGAAAGACTGACTGACATGTGACTCATGATATAGTCTCTAGAGTGAAGAAGTGTATGATTCAAGGTTTTCCTGTCATCTAGTGTTAAAAAATAAAGTAAATAAAAATCGCAATAAATTGAAATATCGAATGGCAGTACTTGTAGAACCGCAAAACCAGTGTGAATTGACACCCAAGTAACGTACTAGTATTGCATCAGGAAATAAGCATATCATCCCAGCCTTAATGAACATGTGCATGTGATTCACTTACTAAATACCAGACTGAAAACCAAAACCCCCCCTGATACAAGCAAGCAGTGAACAAGCACCAAGAAATCTGCAGTACAGACAAAGTATCACAGGGGAAGATACCCCCCCCCCCTTCACAGTGTTTGATTGTAACAGGTTTTCTGCAGATATTACATACAGTATGATCACTTATGTTAATGGCTTCTGGTGCCTTAAAATTGGATGACTGCATTAAAAAGGCTACAATCCAACATCATCTTAAATTCAGGCAGAAAATCAGCACTTGTGTGAGTATATTTGAAATTTATATTCCCCACACATTTTCTTCAGTATTGTTGTTTCTGAATTGTTGTATTAATAAAAAGCTTGATCCCCCCCCCCCCACACACACACACACACACACACACACACACACAAAAAATATAGTTTTGGGTTTTAAGACTCCTAGAAGACGGCCGTGCATTCCTTCCATAGCACACATAAAGCATGTAAAACTGTGTTTGTGCATTTTGTGAGTGAGTGTGTGTGTGTCTGCGTGTGCTCATGTGTGTGTGATGAATGATTCAGCTCACACAAATGGAGCATCGGTGTACCGCGAGTCTCCCCCATGCATTGTGGTCATCAAATAGGCAACTCCTCATGCATTCATTAATGTGACTCCGGCTAACAAAGAGAATGGTAATAGTAAATAATGCAGGGACAAATCCAGCTCCCTCTAGTATGACTTGCACTGGGAGAAAAAAAATACTCACACCCAGAGTTGGAGATGCGGGTGTACTTTTCTCTTTTTGTGACTTTAGGCATTGCTGAGAGGTTAAAGCCTTTTTTTGTAACCAGCACTGTGAAATTTGGCTCAGAGAGAAGCCGGAGCTCAGCTACAGTTTGAGTTTTAAGGAATTGAGGTCAGGATGCAGTGTGATCTGTTGAACTCTATTTGTATTCCGAGGCATATTTATTTTGGTCATGACATCTATTTGAATATTTCATACCACTGCGATTTGCAACGGATCCTGATGGAAATTAATACTTGTGCTGCTGAAGACACATGAGCAGTTTTTTTTTTTTTGACAATAAACGTTCAGTTGACAACATGCAAATGAAATGAGTTCCAACTTTGCATGCTGTTTTAAGACATAAACGCTGTGCAGCCGACTTTACAGCTCGAAATCCCCTTATGTCGCTGCTCTGTTCGTGTTCTCAGAGGAAACAGTAACAGTGAGGGAGGAAAGAACTTTATCCGCGTCTCGCTGTAACTAAGCCACCCGGGAGTTTACTGGGCTGCTGTGTAGGATGTTAATGAAAATCAGAGAATGCCATATTATCTGTCCCAGCAGTGATAGAGGCAATAATCTGTGCACATTGTAAGCCAGACCACAGAGAATGTATCGTAGTAAAACAGCTTAAGCCTGCTTGAGTTTATTGGCGACAAGAGTTGAGATGGCCAAAGCTCCTCAGTTGTCTCCACTTTTTTATAAACAGAGAGAGCAGTTTAAAAACATGCTTTGTGTTCATTATAATGTTGATGTTATTACATGATTGGCTCTGATTAGAGGAGAAAAACATACATACAGAGTCTAAAATAACAGACATGGTGAAAATCGAGTCCATAGGTTGTTTATGCAGCAGGTTATTATGACCCATAGTTACGTTTTGTTGCTAGGCGACATCTCGCCGCTGTAGTAATTATGAGAGGAGCAACGGAAAGAGTGCGGTGACGCAGTATAAAGAGCGACAGAGTCTGCGTCAGGAGGAGGTTGCGGTGGATGGGCGGATATGACGCAGGAGAGCGGCGTGTTCGATTCCCGTGTGAAAGCAGCAGTTTATGTTTATCCATAACCGTTTGACAAAGTTAACCACGTTGTTATTATTGTAACCATGACAACAAAGATCATCTAATGTTGAAAGAAGTACTTATTTTATCCCAAATCACAATCTTTTCCTAAACCTAACCAAGACATGACCGTTATAGTAGTAACCATGGCGACGAAGTTATACGCCGCTCTTGGTACAGTCCGCGTGTTTACTATTGTAACCATGACAACCAAGCTCTGGTAAGCCTGCCGCCTGTAGGGGCGCTATTTCAAAAAACACTCCTATGGGTCGTATCAGAGGTTTGAATAAAAATGACCTATATGGTCGTTCAGGTTGTTGGAAAATCATATGAATGAATTCATAATGAAAGTAGCTCAAAGAAAACAACCAGAAATTAAGGGACATGGTCGTCTGAAAAAAAATAAAAAATCTCAATCTCCAGAGGGATGAAGAAGGATCTTAGTGACTTAGCAGATCACAGATACAGTATAAGCATGAGCCTGACCATGCAAGGCTTTAGAAACAAGCAATAAAATCTTTCAATCAATTCTAAAACTGACATGTAGCCAGTAAAGGGCAACGAGGATTTGTGCGGTGGGGTCACTTTTCTGAGAACGTGTTTGTTGTATACTCGAGATCAATAAACTACCTGAGCATAGAAAGACAGCTCTGAGTAAACAACTGCAACATCATTAGATACGGCTCCCACACTATATGAGAGACTTTTAATAATGCATGCGCTCTGACCATGAAGGTTATGAGACTGACCTCCAGTCTGGAGCCATTCAAGCTGCGGACGTTTTTTTTTTGTTTTGTTTTGTTTGACATCCAGATCTTAATTTGCAGCAAGGCGGGACATACGTGACACGGGACAATCTCTAAACCTGTTGGACGGATGAGAGCCACATCACTGATGCCAGCAGAGTTTTTCCAGACAGCTGATTAAGACATCGTAATCCACTGCGTCAAAGACTGATCTGAGATCAAGGGGGAATTACAATAGAGCAGCTGAATCAGCAGCAAGCACTAGAGAGCAAGAGCCAGAGCTGAATTTTGAAACTTCAGATTCTTGTTCATTAAAGAGAAAAAAAAAAAGAAATAAGCAGGGTGGGAACATTTTTTATTCATTTTTTTAAGTAAAAGAGTTCAGCTTTCAGATGGGTCTAACAGGGAACAGTTTGACACTCCTATTGACAAACAAATTATGTGTTGTAAATGTCAAGTGAAGCATGATTGTGGAACTACATGGTGTTGTTTTTGACT